CCCCCCCCCCCCCCGCCCCGCCAACCTACATAGTATTGAGGGCTCCCCGTGATGAATGCCCAGAGGCAGCATAATTTCGCCGTTTCGCCTAGTGTGTGCCAGAAGTGCCAAGATCATCACACATAAAAACGTCTGCAAAGAAGAATATCAGGATGAGCTTCATGGCTCACGAGCTTTGGAGCGAGCGAGCTCCCTGCGATACGCCGGCGCGCACACGGCCGCGGCTTTGGCAGACCACCCGACGCAGCCAACTGCTGAGGAGGCCTGGGAAAACACTGGTATGAAGGTTTAGTGCTGCTTTTATATAGTTTACGTACAATCTTTGATAGTCTTTGCACACCCTAAACCCTTCTCTCTTTATAAACCCTATGACGAATGGGCTCTTTCACGTGCTCCCCCAATTATCTCGAGGTCCGAGCCGAGGAGCGAGAGGCAAGACACGAGCGGGTGAAGACTCTTGGGCCGCGCTGTTTCGGGTCTTGGGGTTTGTATTTTTAGGATGTGTATACGGATAAAGACATAGGGTCTTATGGCTTATATGCAGGAAATGAAGAAATGCTTGTATACAGCGAGAAAGAAATACATATACACAACATCCAGAAAACAAACAGGCCTTCGGTTTTCTATAAACGAATTAGTTGATACATGTATACATGTAATGCTATCCTCCCTACTGGACCAACCGCGCAGCCGGATGGGCGTACCCTCCTGGCAATTGTGTGAACAACTATACGTAATGCTTGTTGGCTTGCACAAGTTCCTTGTAGAATTGAAGCAGAAGTCCTTGCTTTTCAGTACCGAAGAACCTTGCTTGAGGATTTCAACTGACAGCTTCGTCCATTGGTGCGATGTTGTTGTCTTTCTTTCTAGGGTTTGGGATTTCAAGACGAGTTTAGGGTTTAAGAGCTTGTTTGCATTATTCTAGACGATGATTACCAAAATTGTTGTTGCATGTTGCTAGTATGCTTGCAGTCGCAGCTGTGTTTTGCTCGCTGGCCGTCAGGGCTTGTAGGGTTTAGGGTGTGGGGTGTAAGTTTCTCGGGTTTAGTTTCAGTGCCCTAGGGTTTAAGGTTAAGGGTTTAGTTTAGGGTTCTCAGGTTCAAGCTTTAGGGTGTTAGGGGTTAGGTTAGGGCTTCGGGTTTTCTGCTTGTTCGCATGCCATTCTGGGTCTTAAACTACGCTTTCTTCGCAGGGGAAGCGTACGTATATCGGACCAAGTCTTGAACAGATTTTGTGCGGAGCCTTCAGCTGAGGACGATCGTGCGGAGCATCCGAGAGGACATGAAGGCAAACTTGCCTGCAGATATGTGCTGCCGGAGGTTGCTGTGGGATGTTGATGCAATGTTCGGATGTATCTCTCAACTTCCGTCAGAGTTACCCATGTGAAGCTTTGTCCGGCTTTAAACCCCCACATGCAAGGCTCCTAAACCGCAATCAGTTCAGGCCCGCCGAGGGCCAAGTCTTAACGAAGGGATTTCTATTCCAGTCTTTGTGAGCTTTTGCTTGCACAGCGAGAGCAGACTTCCTTCCATCCTCGCGGCTTTTCATTGAGAGCCATCCTCTCAGCAGGGCCTTCACATGACTATTTACTAATTAGTACAGAAACAAAGTGCCAAGAGCCCTTACACTAAGCATAACCAAGGCCGGAAGTCATATACTCAGAGTCATGACTTCATAAACCTCGCCGCAGCTCCCAACAAAGGGTAGGGTTCGGGGTTTCAGACACGAGTCTTACAGTCCCTCGCCCTGTCACCCACTAGCATGGCGAGACGCTCAGCCGACAGACGAACAATAAGTTCCTGCCTCTTGAAGCAAGATAGGGCCTGTGTTTGTTTCCGCAGCTGAAACCGGAAGTTTTTTGTTACGGCTGTCGAAGGAAGCAAGACACGGCTTGTGTTTATGTTCGAAACTGCAACCGGAAGTTTTGCTACGGCCTCCCGAAGGAAATCCAAGATTTCCCTTGCATGTCCTGAACCAGCAGACCAAAATAAAGAGCCATGAAATGGCCGGTGGGGCCAACAGTCTCAAAATCTGAGCCTTTAGAGAACCCTAACCCTCCAGGTACCTACTATACAGGGCCCTAGGGGCTCTAGTACCCTCTATAGTAGGTACCTGGAGGGTTAGGGATAGAGTCTTCTGGGACCCGAGAACAGAAACCTTAAACCCTAAACCCTAAACCTGATCTCCAAGCGGACCCCCTCTTCCAGGCCGACCGATCAAATCAGGTGCCCAAGGAAGAGCGACTTCGTCGCTTGGAGCATCCTGGGCGCTGTTTAGTACTGTTGATGATATAAATCCTGTATTACCTTGAAAAACCTGATGGGACGCGTCTGTCGACTCTATGGTCTGTGGTATGGTATGGAATTATGCATTACCTTAAGAACCCTATAAACTATGGGAACAATTGTGTATATTCCTTATTATGGGTCATGCAGGATGTATATCATCAACCGTATCACTTGTCGGATCTGCAACGCAAGACTCAAGCATGAGGTGTAGGGTGTAGGTAGGGTGCAGGCGGAGTTGAAGATAGTTGCAGGGTTAACGTGAAGTTGCTGTCGGACTTGCAAGCCACACGTCTAGACACTTGGGGAGAGGCGTTGTTGAAAGCATACCTTAGGATGTGAGATAGGTATTTTCTGAGGCTTTTTGGCATCAACAGCACGGATGACGCTTCCGAAGCTCTCAACCCAAACACGGATCCTGAATCCTGAAATCCCCAACCCTGTGCCGCGACCTTGACCATAACTTCGCTTAAAGGTTCAGGTTCAGGGTTTAGGGTTTATTCGCTTATCCTGTTGTTGCTTTAGCTATTCGGGAGAGCGGCTCAGGCAGTGGCAGGAGCTTTGGGACGAGAAGTCCGGAGACAAGGCGCGAGCTTGGCGCCCTAAACCCTTTCAATCCTGTGGGCCCCATGCCCTCAGCCCTCGACCCTATGATGCCCTAGAATGCCCTAGAAAACCTATATTATAAGCCCTACAAGCCCCAGAAGCCACAAGCCCTCCTGTACCCTGAACTGTGCAGGGTGCGCGGTTTTCAGCTGGGCCCCAGAAACCCGGACCCTTCTCAGGAAATTAGAATGAGGAACCCGAGAAAGGTAAGCTAAATTTAGGATTCAGGTAGGGGGGGGCCCTAAACCTTAACACTAAACCCGAAACTCCGAACCCTAAACAGGTGAAGTACGGACTTCATTGCTAAAACCTCATATGCACCCTAAGAGGTCACACGTTGATAAGTTACCGGTGGGGTTTTTTAAAGCCAGGATTATGCGGAATTGGCTCTTAACCCACGCCTGCCAGCAAAAGTCAAGACAGTGCAGATACGCCTGTGAAGATGACTTTCAGGAACCATGTAGCCTTGAAGCTTGGGGCGTCGCATGTTTTCTCTGCATGCTTCCTGAATGTCATTTTCAAAGGCATATATGCACGGCCTTGATTTTTGCTGGCGGGCATGGGTTCAGAGCTCATTTTTTCCTTCCATTTAAGCCTGGCTTCCCAAAACCCCTAGCAATGTCTTGGCTTTTGCTGGCAGGCATGGGTTCAGAGCCCATTTGTCAGACAAAGTTGGCGG